GAAAAGTTGGAGAGCATGTCTTTGCTCAATTTCGTGAGCCACACTGTGAACGCCGTAATTCTGAAAGCGTTGCTCAATTATATCGTCTTGTGCGTTTGAACACTTCTTTATTCGATATCACGTTGGCTACAAATCTCGTGGTGAGTAACATGCGTAACAGGTTTAGTTTTCACTTTTATTTGTTCTTTTAGTCTTACATATGTGCTCGTTCATCACATCTCCCCGTTGAACTCACACCATCATCTATTCCTCAAATAAACGGTCAGGATGTGGAAGCAATAACTCAAGTTGTGCGCTTAATGCTTCTCATTGATACTCCCGTTGCAAAGCTAGCCACTGATCTTGCTGCTTTCATAGCATATTTTGATCACCACTACTGCACAAGTGTAAGGATCCCATTATCTACCTTTTATTTTGCATAGGTGCCAGCTGACTGGTTCGGATAGCCTGTCCTCATTTTTAGGCTTACGATGATTGGATCCCACCATTGGCAACCCTGCTTTCAAGATATGCCCGTGAATCACTTGCATTCTTCTTGACCGAGGATTCTCTGGCTATGCCTTGTAGAAGAGCTTTGCTGAGAAAGCTTATCAAAGACGAAGAATGCAGCCCCCTCCGCGCACTCTTAATGGAGGATTCTAATTATTTCAATAATATGCTCGAAAATAAGGTCATGGTACGTATAGGTAATGTCTATAATCATATTTGGCGAAATTTATTTCCCAGGATCCGTCAGGCGATTGGGTGGAAGCTTCTAATGCCCATCAAAGCGAGAATGACATTATGGAACGTGAGATGCTTTGTCTGCACATCATCGATGCAGTTTCACGAAGGAATGTACATTGGTTTGCTGGAGCCAAGGAACTTATTCTCAAATTAAGACAGGTTACAACTTTTTAACGATTCGGTCTTGTTCATGAATTTTGAAATGCAATTCTTACTTTAAAAGAAATTTTAGTTATGGAACAATGGCGACTTCAAGGCTCGTTATGTGGTTCACGCCCCTTGCGAAAAGGATCTTCTTGAATTAACAATAAAAATGATGACGGAACACAAGTACAAGGTTCCTAGGCTCATCGTTAACTGCTTTATTCGGTATTATAGGTAAGATATTCATTCCAATTTTCTCAAGTTTATCATTTGATTTCCGTTTCGTTCGCCTTATATCTGACAGTTTCGTTGTAGGCACAATAATAATGATCTCGACCTTTTGTGTGATATATTGTTCGTATTCATTGGTCGCTACGTAACAGACTTCTGTTTCGTTCGTGAATTTCTTGAAAAGGAAGTGATTCCGGTATGCAGAAGAAGGCTTTTGTTGCATTAATGTATTCAGCTTCACTGTTAAGGCATACTCTATGGAGTGGCGAAGAAAACTATTTTCTTTTGTATTGGAAAAGTTTGAGGCTGGTGGTTCTACCGTAATCAAAGATCTCTTATATGTGAAAATCCTGCAATACGTCCTGATTCCCAGTCTTCAGTGGGCGTTTGAGCGTTATAATGTCGATGAGGTGAGGATAATGTGGGCACATTTCAACTATTAGACATTTCTTCTAGATTCTCGGGGTGTTGCAAAACCCACAGGATCAGCCAGAGATGGATCCTGATGATCTTGTCTACCGACTGGCACATGTATGTAACCTTCATACTACTCTTTTCTCTTGTTGATTTTCTCTTTCTTGAATTAAGAGAATTTCTTTTGAGCTTCTACGCATTGCAAATTCTCTATAAACTCATAAATCAAAATGTTTAGATCATAGACCAAAGTCGGCAAGTTATGAGCGATGGTATCGTGATTGCTTTGTATCAACTCAGTACCTTGCTGGTTAAATATGCGCCTCGTCATGTTCATAACAATGATTCAAAGTAAGAACATTTCCATCTTCAAAGAGTTCTATTATCAAATGCGGTAGTTGCTTGTTTTTAAATTTCCTTACCTTCTCTCCCGCTCCTAGAGATTTTTGTTTTTGCTTTTATCTATTCTATTTTGTTGTGTTCCTGTTTCTGTAGTACAAATTCGTTTCAGAAAACATGGATGGCGATTACGAGTGTTTATGCTGTTTGCGTGGTCTTGTCTGACAGCATCGAATAGGCAGGATGCTACGCTTCGCTATACTGGATTTCTGTTCATTTCGCATATCTGCCAAAAGTTCCTCATAAATAGAAAGATTGTACTGCAGGTAGAAAACAGTTTATTCGATTTTAAATGTTTTTATCAATCTTATCCTTATTATTTTAAGGTATTCCAAAGCCTTTGTGGATCATATCAGTATGATAGCCGTGAGCTCGTACGCCGTGCAGCTGATGTGGTAACAGCGGCAATGCCAATTCGTATGGAAGATGGACATCAACAAATGTTTATAAACGTGAAGCGAGTCCTATGTGAAGAAGCGCATAGCCTTGCTCATATACAGCACATCGTGTAAGTCATCCGTTATAGACTTAACTAAGCGTCAAATTATTTCTCATTTTGAATGGACCTTAGAACAAGTAAGAA